CAACATCGACACATTCCAAGAACATTTTTTAGGAATTCTCTCACTTCCAAGGCACAATTTTGGGAGGTTTTTAGGAATTCTTTCACCACAGGTGATTTTCCAAGACCAAATTCCGGTGTTTCTTTGGGAATTCAGCAACATCGACACATTCCAAGAACATTTCCTAGGAATTCTCTCACTTCCAAGGCACAATTTGGGTGAATTTTTTGGGAATTCAGCAACATCGACACATTCCAAGAACATTTCCTAGGAATTCTCTCACTTCCAAGTCACAATTTGGGTGAATTTTTTGGGAATTCAGCAACATCGACACATTCCAAGAACATTTCCTAGGAATTCTCTCACTTCCAAGTCACAATTTGGGTGAATTTTTTGGGAATTCAGCAACATCGACACATTCCAAGAACATTTTTTAGGAATTCTCTCACTTCCAAGGCACAATTTTGGGAGGTTTTTAGGAATTCTTTCACCACAGGTGATTTTCCAAGACCAAATTCCAATGGTTTGGTTTTTTTTGGGAATTTCACGAATTCCAAGAGCGATTTCACGGGAATTCTCTCACCTCCAAGACCAAATTCCGGTGTTTCTTTGGGAATTCTCTCAACATCGACACATTCCAAGAACATTTCCTAGGAATTCTCTCACTTCCAAGGCACAATTTGGGTGAATTTTTCGGGAATTCAGCAACATCGACACATTCCAAGAACATTTCCTAGGAATTCTCTCACTTCCAAGACCCAATCCCGGTGTTTTTTTAGGAATTTCACGGCACGGATACACTCCCAAGGACACCTTTTAGGAATTCTTTCACTTCCAAGACCTGATTCCGGGGATTTTTAGGAATTTTCCTCACCACACTTGACTTTCCGGACCCGTTTCTGGTGGGTTTTGGACATTTCTGGAATCCGGATCCGCTCCGAGGTTTTTTTTGGTTTTTTTTTTAATAGGAATTCTGATTTCCAAGAGCCGATTTGGGTGAGTTTTAGGAATTTTTCACTTCCAAGTTTCGTTTTGGGGGGATTTTGAGGATTTTCCCACATCTAAAAATTCATTTTTGAGGGTTTTTAGTGTCGTTAAGATGATTTTTGGTCGTTTTTAGGAATTCTCTCCCTTCCAAGACCCAATTCCAGCACATTCCAGGACCTTTCCCCCATTCCTGACCCCGTTCCGAGGGATTTTAGGAATTCTCTCCCACCCAAAACCATTTTTGGGGTCATTTTTAGGCATTTCCTCACCACTCTTCACCCTCCAAGACCATTTTTGGTCGTTTTTAGGAATTCTCTCCCTTCCAAGACCCAATTCCAGCACATTCCAGGACCTTTTCCCCATCCCTGACCCCGTTCCGAGGGATTTTAGGAATTCTCTCCCACCCAAAACCAATTTTGGGTCGTTTTTAGGGGTTTCCTCCACAAACTTCTGCTGGTGCTTTCGGGAGCTCTTTAATTCCCAAAACCGTAATTCCAGCACTTTCCAGAGCTGTAATTCCAGAACTTTCCAGACCCTTCCAGAGCTGTAATTCCAGCATTTTCCAGGCCCTTCCAGAGCCATCATTCCAGAACATTCCAGAGCCATAATTCCAGAACATTCCAGACCCTTCCAGATCTGTAATTCCAGCATTTTCCAGGCCCTTCCAGAGCCATCATTCCAGAGCATTCCAGAACATTCCAGAGCCATAATTCCAGAACATTCCAGACCTTCCAGAGCTGTAATTCCAGCATTTTCCAGGCCCTTCCAGAGCCATCATTCCAGAGCATTCCAGAACATTCCAGAGCCATAATTCCAGAACATTCCAGACCCTTACAGAGCTGTAATTCCAGCACTTTCCAGGCCCTTCCAGAGCCATCATTCCAGAACATTCCAGAGCCGTAATTCCAGAACATTCCAGACCCTTCCAGCACTTTCCAGGCCCTTCCAGAGCCATAATTCCAGAACATTCCAGAACTTTCCAGAGCTGTAATTCCAGAACTTTCCAGAGCTGTAATTCTAGAAGTTTCCAGAACATTCCAGAGCTGTAACTCCAGAACATTCCAGAGCTGTAATTCCAGAACATTCCAGAGCTGTAACTCCAGAACATTCCAGAGCTGTAGTTCCAGCATTTTCCAGAACATTCCAGACCTTCCAGAGCCGTAAATCCAGAACTTTCCAGGCCCTTCCAGAGCCGTAATTCCAGCACTTTCTAGAGCTGTAATTCCAGAACATTCCAGACCCTTCCAGAGCTGTAATTCCAGAACTTTCCAGGCTTTCTCAGAGCTGTAATTCCAGCACTTTCCAGAACATTCCAGAGCCGTAATTCCAGAACATTCCAGAGCTGTAATTCCAGCACTTTCCAGAACTTTCCAGACCTTCCAGAGCCATAATTCCAGAACATTCCAGAGCTGTAATTCCAGCACTTTCCAGGCTTTTCCAGAGCTGTAATTCCAGCACTTTCCAGAACATTCCAGACCCCTCCAGAGCCGTAATTCCAGAACATTCCAGGCCCTTCCACAGCCATAATTCCAGCACTTTCCAGAGCTGTAATTCCAGCGGTTCCAGGAACTTTTTCCTGTTCCATGTCACAATTCCAGAACATTCCAGGAACTTTTTCCTGTTCCATGTCACAATTCCAGCGGTTTCAGGAACTTTTTCCTGTTCCATGTCACAATTCCAGAACATTCCAGGAACTTTTTCCTGTTCCATGTCACAATTCCAGAACATTCCAGGAACTTTTTCCTGTTCCATGTCACAATTCCAGAACATTCCAGGAACTTTTTCCTGTTCCATGTCACAATTCCAGAACATTCCAGGAACTTTTTCCTGTTCCATGTCACAATTCCAGAACATTCCAGGAACTTTTTCCTGTTCCATGTCACAATTCCAGCACTTTCCAGGAACTTTTTCCTGTTCCATGTCACAATTCCAGCACTTCCAGGAACTTTTTCCTGTTCCATGTCACAATTCCAGCGGTTCCAGGAACTTTTTCCTGTTCCATGTCACAATTCCAGCGGTTTCAGGACCTCTCCCGAGCGTCCCCGAGCCGCCTTGACCACCCAAAAAACCCCCAACCCCACCAAATCCGTGCTGGGAGCTGCCGGGAACACCCCAAGAACACCAAAGAACACCCAGGAACATTCAAGAACACTCCAGGAACACCAAAAGAACACCCAGGAACACTCAAGAACACCCAAAGAACACTC